AAATAACAACATAAATTATTTGTTCCGTTCTTGTAAGTATTTGAAATAGGAATTAGTTGTATGACATTTATAGCAATTTTTATACATTTTATAAGAATATTGTTATTGACCTTTTATTTTAATATACTTAAATTAAACTTTCGCTCAGTGCCCGCATTGAAATGTGAGGATAAATCAAGGTGGGCTGCGGCTGTGCCTGGAGCTGGAGCTGCAGCTCCTGCTTCAGTTGCCGCCGTAATTTGTAAGTCGAGTGGGAAACAATATTTTTTCATCCGCCCTGGTGACCCGAGACAATAAGCATAAATAACATAAGCATGGAATATGGCACATGGCATATGGATGGCATGGCAGCTGTAATAGACAGCGAGTGGACTGGCTGACTGGCTGGCTGGCTGGCGGGCGGGAGCAGTCCTTGCTGAATGGGATTCTGGCTGGGATCCAGGATCCCAGTCCCAGTCCCTCCAGACATCCTTGGCACCCCTCACCCTGGCCTGATTAATGCTTGTTTGTTTGCATGGCCGTGTATCACTAATGGAATTCACATGTTGGGACATGACTGATTATGTACACATTAGTCGACTGATTTGCAATTCCAAGTGCGCCAGTGCGAGTGTGCGAGTGTGTGAGTGTGTCATGTCCTGTTCGGGGCCAACTTTTCCACTATATGGCCTCGGAAAACAATGTTGCAAGTTGTACTATTAGGTGTGGGATTTCATCGGCGGCTGACTGAGTCGACGTGAGTGTGAGTGGTAGTGTCATTGGGAGTGTGTGGCACGTGTCCTGTCGCCATGTCGCCACCCACAAAAGGACCCTCCATGACTAAGCACATTACGGAGGATCCCACCTCACGCTAATTGGCAGCCGCTTTTGTGTTCGCCACCTTTCGCTCGAGGCAATTTCACCTGCTCGATAATTTGCTCAAGGCAATGCGACGCGGAGTGCAAAATTGTGGTCTTCTGCCCCACTCCCGCTTCGCTCAGTGTATTTCCCCCTAAGTGCAAGTGCAGTGCTCCTTTTTAAATGGTTTAATAAACATGCACGGCAGCTACAAAAGAGTTTGCTTAACAAATTGACTCTTTTGAATGGCACTTTTGCATTCCATTTGCCGGAATACAATGAAACCTGGCACAGGCGACAAAGGTTTCAAGTATCTCCTTAGGAAACCTAAGAAAAAGATTTTAAAATATTTGGAAAATGAAACTACATAATTCATTGGTACATATGTGTGTCTTTATTCTTTAAAATATACTTTTTAAATGGAGTTACCCAAGAGGTAAAAAAGTCAAATCAAGTGTAAACTGCTTGCTTTAAAATTAAACTTATTCATATTTAATAATATTACATTTTCGAATCTTTAAGACCATGTCATTAATTTATATTGCCCTTTAAAATTTTAAATAAACTTGTTTGTTGTAAATTTAAAAATATTTAGTTAAATCTACTATAAAATAGGAACCAAAAATATAGACTTAAAGCAGAGTCACTGTTTTTCTTTTCCCCTATAAGCCATTTAAAAATTTGAAAAAATTTAATGGAGTATTTTTTGGTCACCTGGTTTTTTGTACCCCAGATAGATAGAGATCCCCTGCTTCGGGGCGACAAATGCAACTCGAAATGCCAAACTATATAAAGCGTGACTTAAGCTTCCAGCGGCGTCATTTCCGGCTTAATTGGGCATGTAACAAGCAGAGCTTTAGCTTTTAGCTTGCACACACATACGTGCTTTGGCAGTGCCAAGGATATGCAAACAAAGACCCCCGAAACTATGCCAAAATTCAGAAATCCCTTTCCCCCCTTAAAAACATATCATCCTGGCAGAGTGTGAGTGTGTGCATCGCGTTATGGTGCTCATGTATATGTTTCGACCATGTTTATGTTTCCCGCCACAAGTATACTTGTGTTCAAACTCCTGCAGGACCTCTATACCTACACAAACATGCGTTTAATGTTGGTGTTTGGTGTATCAAAACATTCGGTTGTGGGTGGAGCTGATGATGCAGTAGCACCTTTCTAACCAACTAATTGTACACCTTTCCCCTCCAGAAGGTAGGGTAATCACCGCTCTCCTAAATTCAACTACAAAAGGCAATATTTTTCCGTTTTTCTTTACCTCCACGTTGCGGAAATCAATCAATTTCCTGCGTAGACTTGGCCATTCTGATGGATTTTTTTCCCACTCAACGCTCTGCGAATGAAATGTATTGAGCACTGGATAGTTGGGCACCGACATTGATTATGCCGGCAGGTGAGTCAAGCGGCAGGGGTATGGGAATTCTTATATAATTTAATTAAAATTGCTCAGTGCATTGTGTGCCAGGTGGAATGTGTAAGCGTTGAAGGCATTCTATCCAAGAAAACTAATTAGTATGGAGAAAACACAATTAAGGAGAAATATTTATGGCTGGTTAGCAATCACAGAATATTATTTAATTTGTTGGGCTCGCCGCTTTTTTCTAACTTATTTTTTGTAACAGATTGTGCAAGCCAAATTTACCTATTGAAAGCCACGTGATTTCAGCTGTATGTTTTTTTAAGAACACAGAAAATTTGTTAAAATAATTAGTTTTAAGATTGCTTAAATCAGCATTCTACTAATTGTAATTTGTGTTGTAGCTATATACTTTTTAGTGTTTTACTATACTGCAAAAAATCTTTGAAATTCCATCAAAACCATGGCTGAAATGGTAGCTCTATTAAAAATGAACAAATTGCCAAAAACCCATTTCTTTTTTAAATCAGCCCAAAAGTAATGACTTACGCCATAAAATCTGTCAGGCCCTTAAGTAAAAAAAATACATTTCGGTATATTCGGTTTAATAAAATAAAATGATATCAGTTCAATATTTTAAATGATAATTTAATATAAAAAATCATTAGACCTTGGCTCTGGGCGCCTTTGACCTAATGACATTCCTGTCCTCCAGGATCCTCCTCTTACAGCTCGCCCACCAGCGCCACCTGATCCACCATCTCCGCCGGTTCCTCCACTTCCACCAACTCCACCTGCTCCTCCTGGTCCTCCAGGGCTTCCTGGACTTCCTGGCTCACCTGGCTTACCCTTACCCCTCCGGCCAGGTAACCCAGGTCTTCCAGGTCTTCCTGGTCTTCCGGGTCTTCCCGGTCCACCCGGCTGTCCTGCATTGGCAAAGGAGCTAACTTCACGACGACCTCTGAAAAGTGGGTAACCTACAGGAAGTATACCCCTCTCGTCAGCTTGACCTAAAGAAAAAATATATTAAGGAAAAACTCCAAGAGGGTTGTTCTATATGTCACCTTCGTGCATCAAGACAAAGCAGCAGACTAAAACCAAGATGTATACAGCTTTCATTTCTCCAGTTTACTAACTGAGTCAGCCAAGGAAACAGCTTTATATACAATAGCACCCAAAAAAACCTAAGTCACCGTTAAATCACTCTTCTCGCTTTATATAGCTCTCTGGGAGAAAAACCCACCTCAGAAGAAAAGCCACCCACCCACTCACATTGTTCTGGAACTTCACCTCAAAGCTGATCGTCACAAATAATATAACCATGTAGAAACTCCCGCATTAACCAACTATAACTTAAGATACTAGGCCCTTTACTTATAAACAAGACAAAGGAAACAGGACTTTCATTAACGTGATACAATAGTTTATGATTGGGAGTCTATAATGATTATTAAATTATTTAATGAAGTACTTTTCTTACCCTTTAATATATATACCCAATTCTGCTCATAAAATTCTTAAATGTTTTCGGCTGAGTTATTTAATAAGCAACTCGTGAGTTGCCCCTTTTCGGATACTTGGGTTAAGCTGATTACCAAAAGAGGGTCCTTGAGTGAAACATCTAGACGCGTGTTCCAAGAGCACTTCATCCTGAAGATCTCGTGGGCGACTGTTTTCTGTGGAAAATTATGCTATGCTTTTCGATTTTCCGTCTGGCTTTTCGGCACCCAATACCCATTTTCCCCGTTTGTCAACGTTGCTCTGAAATATTTGTTTATTTTTTCGAAATATGTTTCATGGCACATCAGAGACTCTTAATAAATACTAAAAATCCATGATGAGCTGCTGTCCGGACCCGGGCACAAAAGCCATCAAATCCGTCCCAGTGCCACGCCCCCTGGCCACGCAGACCGCCCCCCAATCCAAATTCTGACTATGACGCTGACGAGCTGCTGAGATGCTGAAATTCAGCGATGCTGGGGACGCTATGCTGTGCATTCCCAATGGATTTGCTCGTGCGTGTCGACAAGAATTTCAATTTGCAAACAATAAATTTGAGCAGCCAGTCGCTCCTTCGAGGACGGCCACTGGTGCGCTGGAGAAACCATAGGAAGCCGCAAAAAAATAGAAATATAAATAAAAAAAAGTGAACAAAAATGAAAAAATAAACGGACTCCAAGCAATGTTTAATAAAGAAGAAATATTTTGCTTTTCACTTTGGCGTCGTGTTGCAAGTGACAGTTGACAATCCCCGCGCACTTTGTTCCAAAGCCCGACAAATAGAATTAGATGCCGAATTAGGACTAATACAACTTCAACTTGATTTCAGTCCTGTCAGCTGGGGGACTTTAAAAAGGCGGCTGAGGCAGGAAGCAGACAAAAACGGAAACGCAGAACAAAAAACGGAAATGAATCAATTTCCGTGCTGCAGACCATTAAAAACTACAAAAGCCCTTCAAAGAACCAGATGAAGTACAGGAAAAAGAGAAACAAGAGGCGGCACAACAGATACAAAATATGGTCTTCTGTCTGGCTCTGCATGAACGATGACCTATGACCCGGGGAAGCTGCTTCTTAATAAGTTTGTGGTCTCTGCTGTGAAAAACAGATGAGAAATAAGCTCAATATGGAGATATTGAAAAATCCAATGGTTTTTTGCATAAACTTTAACATTCTGAGGATTCTACCTCAAGAAAACTTGTTTTCTTGAAACAAAAGTGAAAAAATGTTTTTTAAGAAGGTGGAAACTTTAACAAATTTTATTAAATTCCACTAACTAACAGAAACGAATTTAAATGTATAGATTTAAATCTGAGATCATCATAAGGGAAAATCCAGACTTGTCCTTAAATTTAAGGTCAGCATCTTTTGTGGGTTCTGACAAGTTCATGTAGATGATATAAATAACATAGATGAAGCCGAACTCAATGGCTGAAAAATACGGTTAAATGATAAGAAAGTAAATTACTCATTAATTATTTAAAACTCACCCATGGTCAGCAGGGAGATCAAAATATTGGTCAGTGCCTCGATGGCGTCCCCCACAAATAGTTCGTAGACCCACCACAAAATAAAAAGGGCATCGAAGACCAAACCACAAGCACTCCAAATCAACCAAAACGTCATAAGCTCCGGTTTGTGCTGAAAGGGGTGAAAGTAGAGAGAACGAATTAATGGGAATCCCAGGGATGTTTTTACCCACCATTGAGATGCCAGCTATCATGAGCAGTGTAACTGCCACCCAGACATTCAGCATCAACAGGTAGCCCCAAAACATCCAACCATTTTCGTTCTCAGTCAGTTGTTTCCTGCTAAAGAGGTCTATAATGGAAATATAATGGCTACAGTATAGAAAAATTTCCTTATAAGCTATACTTACTGGGGAAAGTTTTCCTTTTATTTTCTATTGCCGCTTCAAGCGCCACGTCTTCTGATTCCTTGGCCAAACGACGACGTCTCATCATTAAGAACATTATCAGTTCGAAGAACAGCACTCCCACAATGTCCATCCAACCAATGGCCATTCCAAAGGCATTCAATGCATTCATGATGATCAGCTTCTTTTCAGTTGTTATTTAAAAAGTTTCAACTAACATTTCTTTTGACAAATTTTGCTAAGTCTTTTCCGAAAATAATAAAATTATAAACAAATATGTGGATTTTGCTTGTTTAATAAATAGTTTGCCGTCTGCACACAGACGCTGAAAATCGCAAATGCGAAAATTTCATTGTGGTAAACAAACTCTGGAAGAAGAAAGGAAATATACTCTTTTTTTTCTGATAAAAGATTAAATGGTAAATCAAATGTTAAACAAATATTTATGTCTTCGGTTTAGCAAAGTAAATTGCCTGTCTTCTGTCATTTTAAATTAAATACAAAATGATGAATCTATTTATTAGCATTAACATTAAGTTACCATTATAAAAAAGGACGTAGATTTATATGTTTTAATGATTTTATTTTAAACGGCTTGAAAATGTAGTTAAAAATGTAAAAAAATTAGGCAAAAACATGCTAAAGAGCAGAATTTCTGTTCAAGATTCCTGTTGCTCCTGTTGGCAAAACTTAAACTGGAAGTGAGATGTTTTAAAAAGGTTTTGTCGCGCCCCGGGGGATCGAGATGTGCCCCCACTTCGTTCACCCAAGTTGCAAATGAGCGCGAAAAAAGTAAATTATATTTGTCAACGGGGATTCCCCCTTGCTCTCGCTCACACACACACAGGGGAGGAGTAATGGCTGTGTGCGTGTGGACTGCCGCCGCACGTATTTCATCAGCACAGCATTATGTATGGCTATACGAGCGCATACATATACGGTGGTATGTCTCATTTTTCCCCAGCATAAATAGATGCGACAGCCATAGCTGAGAGACTTGGCTGCCGTTTCCGTTTCCGTTTTGATACCCTGTCGAGGGTGTGAAAGAGCATTGAACCGAAATGTGGATACTTAGCCCATAAAAAAAACATATTTAAAAGTCATTATAAATATCTAGAAGCATAGCATAATAAAGTAATTAGCTATACATTAAAAACAAAATTAATTGCACTTTAACTTTTTACTAATTTTTATGGCTTAAAATACAGATTAAGACAATTTATTATATTTATATGGGTAATATTTCTTTTCGTCCATAAATCATAAAAATATAATTATTTATTTTGGTCTATCGAAATATATTAATATATTTTAAAACAATAAATACTAAACGTATTATAATATTGATTTTAATTCTGACCCTTTTTTATAATATTAATTTTCTTTATATTATATTTTTGAAAATAAGTCATCAGATTTTCGTATCTTCAATTGCCAACAATTATATTTTCTATTTTCCATATGGATTTTAGCAGGAATTCGCTGTTGATAATGGCCTATGCCATAGGTTGTTTCGATCTGGTCAGCGCCTTGCTTTTTTCCATGGTCAGTTTCAAGACGATCTGTGAACATGTAAGGAAGTCCTTTTTCCTTTTGGTTAACATAGAAAATTGTGTAAAATCATCGTATTTAACAGCTGAGTTGGCTGACAATATTTGCGGTAATTTTTGGACTTTTCTGGATATCGATGATTCTGATGCTCCTGCTTGGCATTCATAAGGTATGTACATTTAAAGTGGTTCATGGACGTTGGTCGTGTAATGGTATATCCCCCGCTTAATTACAGCGCAATCCCAGATGCGTTCGTGCCTGGATTATATTCTCCTGCCTTGGCATCCTGGTGGAGATGTGCCTGATTTTGTATGCCGTTTTCAACGAGAGCTCTTTCCAAACGGGTCTGGTCAAAAATGGATTATTGCTGCTCCTCGGATTGGGTGAGTGCAATATTAGCGAAATCATATTAGGTTTTGGCTTTCGATTAATTTTTGGTTTCTTTCAGTTGTTGAGTGCATTTTCCTTTACATTGTTCAACGATTTTACGTGGCTCTGGCCTTTTGTCAGGCCTGTCACAAGGCTATAACCTCGAAAGTGGCACAAGAAAATCAAACTTACCCGGAAACCAACCGCCAACGTCAATATAATAACAATTATCAGCCCAAAAGATATCCACAAATACAACATCCCAGGGGAAAAATAGTGCATAACACCCCATCACATCCCATGAAACTGAGTTTTTATAGATCTTCTGAGAGCAGTTCGTCTCCATAAAATAAAGATTCATATATTTATTTTTATCTAAAATATATGAATTATAAAATTAAATAAGATGCAGTCAGTAATGCCAATTCATTTTATTGTAAATCGCAAAAATACGTTTTCCAATTTTTTTACAGGGCATTCAGGAGTTGGTTTTCGCTAAACGTGAATGTACTCTTCTTGATTTTTTCTTCACTCGCTACAGAGCAAATTATTTTAAAAGGATTTTGTGTTTAACATTGGCACACGCATGCCTGTGTGAGTGCTTTGTGTAGGTGTGAAGAGGTCCGCATCCTAGATGTGATAAAAGTTAAAGAGCTTTGGGCCAGAGTAGAACGCACACAAAGGAAACTGCGCTTTCTAGAGTTCTAATCAAGAATGTTCAATGGAAAATATATATTTTAAATTATTTTAAAAATATAAACAGGTAATATTTATACATTCATTTTCGCATTTGTTTTTGGAGTTTTTTCAAAACAGCTTTATCCTTTTTCATGCGTTCTTTAGCTTGTTTTTCCATGCGTTTTAAATCCCTACGATCCACTGGTTTTTCCTTTTCCTCGGTATAAACCACTTCGCAGCCGCTTTTTTCTCTACGAGGCTCTTCATAAAACGTTTCCGGTGGAATATATCCAATCATATCCAGATAGAAGAGGTAAATGATGTAGACAAAAGTCATTTCCACAGCTGTAAAAGATAAACCATATGCTTTGTAAATGAAATTTGTGAATATTTTATAATTACTAACCCAATCCCACGAATGGCAGCACTGTGATTTTTACACCCTCCCAGTTCACAGATATGGCCAAAGTCAGGCCATAGAGCAAAATAACTCCATCCAAAAGTATTCCCAGGCACGTAAACACCAGCCAAAAGCGTACCAATCCCAGTTTCCTCCTGTAGATGCCAGCTATGAGAACGATGATGATGACCATCCAGAAGATGGTGAAGATCAGCGCCACCAGGGCAGACCAATTACCCTGCAAATACCGAAATTTACCCATTTGTATACTGAAAGGATGGCCGAACCGTCTTACATGCCTGGCAAATACCACTCCTGAGATAATTGCGAATAGCACGGCGGATATGAAGTCCAGCAAAGCGATGCAATAGGCGCAGGGCACTAAATATCCATCAGAATTTGACCCCATTGCCCCAGCTAAGGTTCATCTCCTCACTGGGAATGTTGTCTACTAAATCAAAGCTATAATGATGATAAGCACGTACTTGTCGAGAGGGGAAAGGGGGTCCAGGGGTCTTCGCTCCATGTTAATCAATGCTGTTTGATTGCCAAAAGTCCCAGACAGCGCACAGTGGTTGTAAACTATTGGACAGTGGGCAAATTTATAATAAAATTCACTTTTTTATTAATAACTGTTAATTAATTTTTTATATTGGATTTTAAGAATAATGAAATCTCTTTTTATGCAACTAATTTTGGGAATGGTATTAGTCATTGATACATTTTTCAAGCTTATCTTTAACATTTTTATAACTTATAATCGAATAAATCTGTAATCATTTTAAAGCTTTAAAAGATATTAACATTTTAAGCTTAAAAAAAAACGATGGATTTTTTCGAAAGATATTAAAATTAATTAATAGTAAATTTTTTTCAATTAAGTTTTATATTGTTTTACATATATAAGAATATACTTTACAAAATATAATTTGATTTATTTATATATATTTAAATTAATACTACAAAAGTTCTTCGCACTTATTCCCACAATATTTGTATTTATGTTTCGTTGACCTTTCCATGCAAATACAAGGCTTTTGAAACCCATGGTTAGTAGATTCTCAAAACAACCTATACCAATGTGAAGTGTCTTTTGCCGACGACGACGATATGACAAGTTTTGTGCGACCATCTGTCCGCTCTTCATTTATGGCATTTGTTTTGTCAGCAGGCCCTGGAGATTGGATAGTCCTTGTCCTGGTCCCCCGTTGGCAACGTGACTAGGTTCTCGGGCCCCATCCTCGAAGGCATCAGGAAAAAGATGGAAAACTGTGTAAGTCAATTATTATTATTGTTTGTGTCGGGGCGGGAATTGATTTAGCCCTCCCACTTGGCCCTTAAATTGAAAACAAACGATTGCATGAAATACAAATTTTATTTTGTTTAGAAATTCATAAGGAAAGCATGCACATGTGTAAGAATGAAATAACTAATATATTCTGTTCTTTAAGATTTTTCTTGAGTTTATTCCTCATTTGCCTTTTCAGAAGTCTTTGCAATTGAAGTTGTAGATATTGTATCAGTTTCTTCATCTTTGCTACAGTCTTCTGTGTTTCTAAAAAAAAGGTTTTCCTTATAGTATACAATGTAATCATGTGTTTTCCTTTACCACCTTTAGAGAACCAATCATAGTTGCCGCCTTCCAAAAGACAATAGGAATATAATCTTCTGAAATACCTGAATACCAAGTACAAGCAAGTGCACTCATAAACTGTGAAGATGTTTTAAAGCTACATTTTGTAAAATATTATAAAAGGTAAACCTACAAATTCCTAAGTACAAAATAGTCCAGTGCTTGAAATGATGTACGTCGAAAACAGGAGAGGAAGTTACATTCCATATCAGATAAATTATATCCATAGCAGTCGCAAAGCCAGAGAAAAGCAACCAAAATACGAGGAGAGTTGGACGACCCTTAAATATAAATAAATCAATGGTTGAAATATAAAAAATTTCCCAAGATTGCTTACCTTCCATAGACCTACAAAAAGTCCAACAACGGTTAAAATCCAAACTATTGTACTCAGGTAAGCCAAAATTGAATACGAATTTGTCTAAAGGTATCACAAAAACATGGCTTAAATATTGTAAATATTTGTAATATCACTTACATGCGAAATCATTACAGAAACGGAACTAAACGAGAAATACAGCGAGCGCAATAACTCAAACCCAGCAATCAGAATGCAACTCCTTAGGAGATTATCCCTAGGAATATTCCACTCTTTCAAATCAAACGCCATTTTTTTATAAATATATTTTCTCTTTTTAGTTTAACCAGACAAATTTTAAAAAGTTAGCATATAAAAATATGTTATATTTGAGTGGAAAAAACAAGGCCAACTGCGTGCATTTTCTATACTACTACAAATTATTTTATTTTTATTTTTTTCCCTTCTTCTTTTTTGAGTTTTTGTTATTTTTATTTTTCTTATCATTATTTCCTCCGCCACCTATTGGAAAATAATTAGTTAAACATGAATACTAGTCCAATACTGGCTTACAGCATAAAGTCCGTTTCTCTTTTGGTTTCTCACCCATAACTTTATAATAACGATGTATAAAAAATAAGCAGCAACTTTCAATAACTAAAATCGAATAAATAATTATTAAAATACAAAATAAATGTTATATAGAACTCACAAATGCCAAGAATAATGATTGAAAACTCCTGAAGCCGGTCCCAATCCACAGTGAGTGAAGTCGCAATGCCCCACAGCAGAAATATTATGTCGGTAATAAAGCCGGCTAAAGAAAATATAAGCCAAAATCGAACCAAACCTGGCTTGCGCTAATGTGGTTTAAATATTAAAACAAGTTAGGATATAAAAAACATTACCAACGAACCTTGCATAACCCTACAAGCAACATAATTACAATTATAACCCAGAAAATGACACCCAGAACTGCCAGCATAGCAAACACGCTAAACTATAGATTTAATTAGAGTATATTATTTATTAAATATATTATATTTTCCCATCACCTACCTTTTTAACCATTAGCATCATTGCTTGAACGGTGAAGTACAAGGCATGTAGCAGATCGGAAATGGCTATAACATAACATATCTTTAAGAGAGTGGAATGTAAAGCATCTTTTTCCGACTTATTTTTTGATTTGTCCCCGGTTTTCTTTTTCTCGGGCGACTTCTTCTTCGGCGGGGGTTTCTTTTTTTCGGCGGCCATTTTTTGTGCACAAAATGTATTTTTCACATTTAATGAACATTATATCAAAGCACTTGGGATTGCAATCAGAAAACTACGTCTTTTTAAAAACTAAAAAATAAAAAGACAGTTTTAAATTTCTTTTTAAATACTCAGTGGCCTTCAAACTGTAAACAGCTGACGAGACACAAGGTGGCAACGCTTCACGGCTATCGTCAATCGATTTATCAGTGTTGCAAGGCGTGTCAAAGGTGCTTTTAGGCGGTCTTCTTTGTTTATACATCTATTTTATGATAATTTCTCATTGTACCAACTGAAAACAAGATGCCCATTCTAGTGAAGACGTAAGTAGCTTAAAAGAAACTTTAAGTAAGGCTTAATATAAAGTGTAAGTCAGTCAAAAAGACGTGCTGTGTTTGGCTACAAGTGGCAGCGTTGCCACCTGTTATGCTTATTGTCGGCTCGTTTCTGGCAATCTGCAATTTTATTTATTGTGAAATTATTGTTGGTTTTTTGTTTAAATGGGGCCGCCAAAAAAATCAAAAAAGGATCGCAGTGGCTCGGACAAGTTCGGTGAGTATGAGGCAAATGGAAAACCAACGAATTTTTGTGTAATTAGAGAGTTTTCCACGCAGCCAAAAAGCGGCGTGCCGAGGATGAGGCCTTCACCCAACTGGTGGACGACAATGATAGCTTGGATGCCACGGAATCGGACGGCGTTCCTGGGGCAGCATCCAAGAATGCGGAAACCAATGATGAGCAAGTCAATACGGATGAGTATGGGGCCAAGGATTACCGAGCGCAGATGCAACTGCGTCCGGATCACGGCAATCGTCCACTTTGGGTGGCTCCCAATGGTCACGTCTTCCTGGAATCCTTTTCACCTGTTTACAAGCACGCCCATGACTTCCTAATCGCCATCTCGGAGCCCGTCTGCCGACCCGAACACATCCATGAATACAAACTCACCGCCTACAGCTTATACGCCGCCGTTTCGGTGGGCCTGCAAACCCATGACATTGTGGAATATCTCAAGAGATTGAGTAAGACCAGCATTCCCGAGGGCATCCTGGAGTTCATCAGACTCTGTACCCTATCCTATGGCAAGGTCAAGCTGGTCTTGAAGCACAACAAGTACTTTATAGAGTCACCACATCCCGAGGTGCTGCAGAAGTTACTCAAAGACCCAGTGATTCAGAAATGCCGTCTGATACGCAGCGAAGGTGAGGATTTCATCCAGGGCACTCTGGACGGCAAGGCCATCACCCAATTCGGCACAAAATTGCCTCCTGGAGCCACGGACAAGCCGGCAGAGGCTCCTGCAGCAGCTCCTGGAGCTCCTGTAGCCGCAGATGGCACTACAGCAGTGCCCGAGGATATCACAGATTTCTATGAGAAAATCGACAAGGAAGAGGAGGACGAAGATGAGGCCAACCTGAAGACTGTTTCCTTTGAAGTGGCCCAGGAGAAGATCGAGGTGATCCAAAAGCGCTGCATCGAGATCGAGCATCCTCTGCTGGCGGAGTACGATTTCCGCAATGATACCAACAATCCAGATATCAATATCGACCTCAAACCCGCTGCCGTTCTGCGTCCATATCAGGAGAAGAGTCTGCGCAAGATGTTCGGCAACGGAAGAGCCCGCTCTGGGGTTATTGTACTTCCCTGCGGTGCTGGAAAATCCCTGGTGGGCGTGACAGCATGTTGTACCGTGCGAAAGAGAGCCCTGGTGCTCTGCAACAGTGGTGTTTCTGTGGAGCAGTGGAAGCAGCAGTTCAAAATGTGGTCCACAGCCGACGACAGTATGATTTGCAGATTCACATCCGAGGCAAAAGATAAGCCTATGGGTTGTGGCATACTCGTTACCACCTATTCCATGATAACACACACGCAAAAGAGATCCTGGGAAGCCGAGCAGACGATGCGCTGGCTGCAGGAACAGGAATGGGGCATCATGGTGCTGGACGAGGTGCACACAATCCCAGCCAAAATGTTCCGTCGCGTGCTCACCATCGTTCAATCCCACTGCAAGCTGGGTCTGACGGCCACACTTCTTCGTGAAGATGACAAGATTGCGGATCTCAACTTCCTCATTGGACCCAAGCTGTACGAGGCCAATTGGTTGGAGCTGCAAAAGAAGGGATACATTGCACGCGTCCAGTGTGCCGAGGTGTGGTGCCCCATGTCCCCGGAGTTCTACCGCGAGTACCTGACCACCAAGACCTCAAAGAAAATGCTGCTCTATGTGATGAACCCCTCCAAGTTCCGCAGCTGCCAGTTTCTGATTAAATATCACGAACAGCGCGGCGACAAAACGATTGTCTTCTCGGATAATGTGTTCGCGCTAAAACACTATGCAATCAAGATGAACAAGCCTTTCATCTATGGTCCCACCTCGCAAAACGAGCGTATCCAGATCCTGCAGAACTTCAAATTTAACTCCAAGGTAAGTACAACTCAATGATATTCAGAACTTTTAATATAACCTTACGCCTTATAGGTAAACACAATCTTCGTGTCCAAAGTGGCCGACACCAGTTTCGATTTGCCCGAGGCGAATGTGCTTATTCAGATTTCTTCGCATGGAGGTTCTCGTCGTCAGGAGGCCCAGCGTCTCGGTCGTATTCTGCGCGCCAAAAAGGGCGCCATCGCCGAGGAGTACAATGCCTTCTTCTACACCCTCGTCTCACAGGATACCATGGAGATGAGCTACTCCCGCAAGCGACAGCGATTCTTGGTTAACCAGGGTTATAGCTACAAGGTTATCACGCATCTCAAGGGCATGGACACGGATGCGGATTTAATGTATGGCACCCAGGAGGAGCAAGGACAGCTGCTCCAGTTGGTCTTGTCCGCCTCCGATTTGGACTGCGAGGACGAGAAGCTGCCGGGCGAGCCGGGCTTCCGTCCAGGTGGAGCCGGCGGCACCGTGAGACGAGCTGGCGGACTCAGCTCCATGTCTGGCGGGGATGACGCTATCTACTACGAGCATCGACGCAAGAATATCGGAAGCGTGCATCCACTGTTCAAGAAGTTCAGGGGATAGACTTAAGCATGTCGTAAAAAGCTGTGAAGCATGAATAAAATTCTTTAAAAAAGTTATTTTTTGCAATGCAAAGGGTTTCAGGTAGCATTAATATTCTTTAAATTTGGGGCAATACATTTTTAAATCTGTTTTTAGTTACTTTTAAGAAATAAATCGAAATGCTGTTATCCTTTATTTCAGACAAAGTGCCGGCAAAGGTGATTGGGCTATTATAGAGCTACAGGGTGACCTGGAGGTGAGGAGCAACCAGGACATGCACGACCAGTTTATTGGCGATCTGTACTACAATAAATATGGCCAGCCTGTGAGTTGAAGTTTCCCATATTCTAAATAAGCCTAAATAATGTTTTTTTATTCCCAGATTCTCATCATAGGTCATCACATTCTTCAGGGTCGTGAGCAAAAGCTGGACAAACCATTTGCTGTGCTGGAAAAGTCCAAGACCAATGAGGGTGAACGATTGCTGGATATGAGCATGGCATCTCAAGATGTAAGCATGATGAATGCCACCACAGGAGCAGAAAGGACAGTGCTGGATCACACGATTGCCCAGGAGCACAAGAGTCGCCAGAGAACCGAGTACACAGTCCGCGCAGTTTGCACTAAAAAGTTAATCTTCAAATCGCGACCCAAACCAATTATAGCTAATGTGGCCAAATCTGTTTGAATGTATGTTTTATAAAATATAGTTTTATTCGCTTTTTATGATAATATTTTCATAAGTAGACTCTTTATTAAACAATTTCCATCTCACGCTCGATGCCCACGAACTTCAGTTGCTCTGTGGGTCCGTATCTGTAGTCAAAGAAGAGCTCCTCACCGGGCTGAATGGCCCGCTTGGCAAAGATACCGATCCGATGGTCGCCGGTGACCATCATTACCTTGGCATAGCAGTTCGGATTAATGGAATGGTTGGCGAACCGAATCTTGTTGCCCTTTCGGGTCGCATCCACAACAAAATCGTTGTTCAGATTGAAGAGGAACGAGCACATGTACTTGTCATAGACTTTGCCACGGCGATCGGCCTCGTCTTGGGAAATGATCTCCCCACAGTACTCGGAGATGAACTCATTCTTTTGGGCGCCCTCCTTGAGGAAGATGCCCCAGCCGGCAATGTCAGAGGGAGCCATGAGCAGGTGTTTGTCTGGATAAAAGAGGTTTGATTTGATTAGATGACAATATCTTAAGAGTTTTAAGCAGCAAGCTATTGTTTAAACCATAAAATTGTTGACTGTAGTTCAAAATTTAAGATGATAAATAATTTTTAAAAATCCCTAAAGAGTGCCAGTATTGACTAAGCTCTCCTTGGGTATTAAAAGTAGAGTATAAATATATAAATAAATTCCTTACGCAGTCCCCGCTGCACGCAAACATTCTTGCATGTGATTTTGGTCAGCTTGAACTGATCCGCTCCGCAGGCCTGGCAAAGATCGGGATCGCACTCGCGCACTGCCAGGTAGCAAGGACACTGCTTCGTGTTGCACTGAGCCTTGCAGCGACAGCCGGGGAAACGATTCTGGCAATCGCTGCTGCAGTTGCAGAATTTCTCACAGAAGTTCTGCGTCTGAATGCACGAGCAGTTCGCGTCGCAGGGATGACCCGGATGGTCGCAGGGCGTGTAGTTGTACACATGATTCGAGGACGAGTCCTTTTTCAGCTGTATCTTTCGGCAATGCAGCGACCACAGGCGTTGCTTCTTCTTCTTCTTGCGCGGAGGCGTAAAGTCCTGCCTCAGATCCTCGAAACTGAACTCGGCATCCTCCTTCTGGGCAAACTCGTATACCTGACGGCAAGTCTTTGTGAGCATGTTATGCGCAATAGCGCAATAGTTCTTTAGATAAACTTTGTGTAAGACGCGATAAAGAGCTTGATCTGCCCCAGTCCAGACGCACTGCGTGCTGGTTATGTTCATCATGCCAGCTGGAAGGGCATAAGATGATCCTTAATTGGAAAAAATATTGTTTAGTTTTTAAACTCACCCATAATTGAGTTGATCTCAGCCACGGCTGCGCTATTTACAGTCAGACCATTATCCTTGCTATTCTCGTGGCTAAAGTCCTTGTTGCTAAACTGACTATTGCTGTCATTACTGTCCTCAGAGCTAGCCTCATTACAGGAATCAATGGGTGGTGTTTTGCTATCGGCCGCCAGCTTTTCCTTCATGCCATCCTGTAAAGATTAAAGATAAGTTATACATTTCATAGAGTATTTAATATCCCACTTACAATCAACATGTAGCAGGAGTTGCTGCAGGGATCGGCAAAGGTCTTCAGCTCCGGATAGCGACGCTTCTGCAGATTGGGACCAGCATGTCCCTGCAAGCCTGTGGAAATAGAGCAGCGGGATTAGAAGGATTGAAACGATCAAAAATCACTTGATGTCCATGAAACGCTTTTGGATTAGCATGAGGGTAATCGGTTACTTTTCGAGAAAGAGATACAGATACAGAAATGGTCCAGGCAAAGCCACACGGAATGAGGTGAGCAACACCGAAGAATCAATTTAGACACATGACAAACAGAGCCAATTATCCACAGATATGAAGGATTATTATAATAATATTCATAGACAGCGAGATGAGGATGCGGAGGCGTGGACGGGCTAACGGCATGAGAGTGTGTGCGTGTGGTTATCGAAACAACAACTACAACAACGACTCACCCTGCACATGGTGACCTAAATTGCAATTAATTCAATACAACATTTTCGAATTTCGTGTTTTTTGGGGATTTAAGAAATGGTACAGATTGTTTTTTTTGGCAAGATAATATTGTTTCCAAACAAGAAAAGAAAAGCAAAAACAAAACGTAAAGTCATTAGGTAACCCAGCTGGCAGCAGTTCCCACGGTTAAACTTACGGTGCAGGAAGCAGTCGTATTTGAAGCATCTTCGGCAGAAGAGTGTGTGGAAGGAGTGCATGGTCCTCTCCCGGGAAACGCTTTCGGCCTTGATGCCATCTATATTGGGGGTACACTCCTGGGGGCGCTCTGGATCCTGGTGCTCGGTGAGCTCAATGTACCTGGTGGGAATAATAATAGATCATTTAATTATATTTAATTATTCTTATAAAACCTATTACTTCTCAGTTAATTATACAATGCATACTTCTCTTTGAGCTCCTGTGCAGTGCCCTTGTCTGGAAAATTGGCGCTGATGGCCTGGAAAATAATGGGAGCAGGGAAGGGCAGCTTGTCCTTGACATCTTCCACGGCGGGTTTGACATCACCACCCTCAGTTGCCTCCGGTTCCTCCTTTTCCTTCTTATCTACCGCTGGCTCCTCGACTTTGTTCTCGGTTTTATCCTCAAGCTTCTTGGGAGACTCGCCCTCCCCAAGCACATCCACATCCCCATCCTCATCCCCATCTTTGGACTTGACAGATGTCTCCACCTTAACGGAAGTGGATGTTCCCGGAGTGGCTTCCTCCAACTCCTTGCTGTAGGAACGCATGAGGGCGTGGACCAATTCCACAAAGATGGCATCGTCCATGAACGAGGGATCTTTGTCGCCGTGCACCTTGCCGTCGTAGTTCTTGATCAGCTCCTCTATGAACTTGCCATCCTTGTCGAGGACCTCGTCGCCCATGTAGGGGATATTATGGAGCACCGTCTCGTCCTCGACCATGAAGTTCTGCTGGGTTGGGGCCCACGTGTACATGGTGGGTATGGGCGTTACGGCGTTGATCACGCAGATGGGAATCTTTTGGGGTCCGCTGGGAATGCCATTGTAGCTGGTCACCTCCGCTCGCTTCACGCAGTCCACATGCGGCGGGTCGTAGGGTTTAGCCTGCCAAACCTTGGACTCGCAGTACAGATCCTGTACATTGTGGTTGTGTTCGTCCCTGAGGGGATATAGATTTATATACTTTCGAGTCCAGACTTCCGCCTTCTCCTTCCCGCGCTTACCAGTTCTTTATCCACGCCTCCTTGATCTCGTCGGCGCGTTTGTAGCGCTTCTGCTGTCTGATTTTGATGTATTCCGACTTGACACGCCTCTTCCATTCGGGCGGCACCTTGGTGTTGTTCATGGCGATGTTTAATCGCTTTAACTTTATAGCATTTACGCGAAAATCAAATGCTTTTTAAGGTTTATTTTCCGCCTTTTTTTCGCAACAGCTGTGTGACCGTTTTACTTTGTGAAAAAAATCCTCACACATGGACGCGGGCTGAAAAATTTGTTGTGGGGTTCTTATTTTAAAAAATAAAACATTAAGCAAATAAAACGATTAAATTTAAATTTAAAGATTAATCTTATAAATTTATTAATAGTGACAAAGGAAAATTATATCATATATAGACTCCTTGCATTAAACTAAACTTTCAAATTAACAAGGTAGGCAACTTGCATTTTATTGTATGTTTTTAAGACACAGTAAATTATTGAACATATTTGCTTATTCTTTTGATGTTTTCTCTAGTTGACCATATGTTTTTGAAATAAACTCTTTAAAATTTAAATGAAATAAAATTCAAAGCTGAAGGGGGTATATTGTATCCCCTTTCGCTAAGCCCATGACTTTTAGTGTTTGTAAACACCATTAGCCATTAGTGTTGGCTAACGTGGAATATCATCAAAAACATAAAAAAAAGGAAAGAAAGCTATGAGAATCCTATCAAAAACTAGGAAATTTTGCAACAATTAAGCTGGACAAATTCAATCGCATCAAGGCGGCCACGAGCATTGAGGAAATAGCTGCAATGGAACCATCAGCCTGCGAAGGTAGGCCACCGGGACAAGCCCCGAAAAACGCGCAACCCACTGACTATGTTTACCAACTATAACCGGGTTTGTTTTCGTTGCTCCTCTATATACTTTATATACTACATAGATCTCAAGGCCTTCGAGCGGCGCCTCACCGAAGTGGTTTCATCGTACCGTCCCTCGACGTTCCGCTGGCGCAGTAAGTTAAACCCGGCAAACGAAAAACGGGAGCAGTACGGCCCGTAATAACAGTAGAACTTCTTGCAGTTGTCCTGTCCGCCATGTCCATGTGCACGGCCATCAGCGCCTGGTACTGGCTACGCGACCCACGCACCACCGTCGTACCGCTAACGGAATCCCTCTGGATCCATCCCATCTTCACAGTCGCCACCCTGACATTGAGTAAGAGCCTCCGGATAAATGATATGTCCAACCGCACATGGGTTTTAGTTTGGTTTTTACTTAGTCATAGGCCATGGTCGTAGAACCTCGTTTTAGGTATACATTTTAGTACTAGGCAATAACTGGGGCACATTGTTTTAATGTACAGAAATTTTCATACAAATGAAGGCTCTTCAACATTACCTAATACCCTACATATTAGTAGTAATACACATATGTATGTATGTACTTCGAGAGCGAGACAAAATATTAATGTGTACGTTCAAAGATATTTATAATATTATTATCACAACGAGGCAAATAACACATTAAGCCAGTGGTTAAAAATCAGATGTGTACCCAGTAGGGATGTAAAATTAATAAGTGTAGTCAGTAAAAGAAACCAAGACCGAGATTCCCAAATATCATGGTCTTCAATCACATAAAATGTTGACGAAATGACTAAAATCTTAGATACAAAATTCTTTAACGCCCTTTTATAGCATTATTATGTTTAAATGTACAATAATGGGCCTTATCAGACCCTAATATTTGTATAAGCTGCTTTATCAAATGCGATTCCATTTAATGAATTAATCAGGTCATCAAATCAATTGATAAGTTGGCTAATGGCTTGTCACTGCATTATAAATAGCCAAACTGATAATGAATTTAAGGGTTTTTTGTTTTTAAGCGGCTAATTGAAAAAAGGAAATAAGTTTTCCCTTTAGCTATGATAAAATTTAATACATTATACTTAGTACTGAATAAGTCTTAAATGCTATCTTCTTATCTTCTCTTCCAGTCTTCCTCTTCATCCTGGGCATACAAAAACTGGTCATAGCGCCGCAGATTATCACGTCCCGAACGCGAACGGTACTGGGAGATTTTAATATGAGCTGTGATGACACGGGGAAGCTGATACTAAAGCCGCGCCAGAGTAACAACAACAGTACATGAGCACCGGCCCGCCCTAAGGACATTTAATTAGTTAATGCTAGTTCCCTTTTCTTTGCTTATATGTTAATTCGGACACCCTCGCTTTGTAAGCGTAATTTTAACGTATCCCCTTATTTCTCCTTTTTACCCTTGTTTAATTATAGAAGCTCCATTGTACAAAAAAAAAAACGGAAAAAAGAGAAAACTCAATTGTTAAGCTTTATGTGTTTCGTTAATAGCGTTACCCATCGCTGCCAAATACAACAAGCTACATTTCAATTTCAATTACTTTATAGCTAACAAGGTTCCCATAAATTGTGCAACGACAAGTGTTTTTGCCAATTTGGGGCTGTTTTTCCAGAGCTGCATTCCGTATAAATAGGGAGTCTGGACAGTTGTAAAGCATCAGAAGCAACCTAGCCATCTGTACAACAAGCCAGCTTTACCATGAAGTTCCTACTCCTGTGCACTCTCATCTTGGGCCTCGCCTTCTTCATGGCTTCTGGCAAGGATTGCAATGGATAGTCCTCGAAATAGACTCCAATTAACTGGTTCTCCTGTATTTTTTGTAGCTCTACCCCAAGCCAACGAGAATGATGCCCCGATGGTTGATCTTGACCATCACCATCATCAGGTGGTGCGCAGCGCACCAGTGCTTCTGGACGACGAGAAGACACCGCACAAGCACGACGATGTCGCCTGCTGCGGCTAGGCTTCAGGGTAAATAGGGCGTGACGACACTTTCATCGATCTTCAAACGCCTTTAAATTTAAATAAAGAGCAATATTGAAAAAAGTACTTAAGAACCATTTAAATTTACTGGGTTTAAAAGATTTAACAGAATAATCCGCATCATTAAAAAACATTAAAATGGTTGATTTTGCGTGATATTTATTTTGATTCAGCATTCTCTATAGTTTTTTCATCAGTTTCTTCTCGCTCTTACCGCATATATAAATCTTTATTTAGTTTGTGTGATTTTTCATTGTTCTTTTTTGTTTTTTTGGTACAAATTGTATGCGTTAAGTTTTGCCATTTCATTAATCTTTTATTTCTATTTGTAAACCCTAAAAATTATTATTATTGCGCAGCTCAAGTTTATTTTGTAGATTTGTTTAAATACGTTTATCAAAGTTGACGGCGTGGAAATATATAAATGCATCCGCTTTCTGCTTATGGTTCAGTTGTGTGTGTGTGTGTGTGTAGGCATTTTAGTTCGTACAATTCTTTTGTTATAGTATTCAATTAATTTATGCATTTTTAAGACCTTTACACCTTGTTCTACACTTCGTCATTTACAAAAAAATAGTCTAGATTTGATTTAAAAGTGTTATTTTATATTTATAATCTCTGCTTTAGTGAAATTTAGGATTTATCTCTCATACATATCTCCCCCAACCATCAGTTTAAACTTTGCGCTAATTTGTTGTTTAGGTTAATTGGGTTCCATTCATTACTTAAAATTAGGGCTAGATTATCAACTAAATATTGTTGCTGCTGATATATGCGTTCCACATCATCCGACTTCGTTACGTTACGTGGAGGCGGCTGGAGTCTAAAACAGTACGAAACAAATGCTGGAAATGCACACAGGGTAAAAATAAAACTAGAGGCTGCCTCCTGCTAGCACAACACTCGCTTACAATTTTTACAAATAATACAGAAGCCTAATTACATAAATAAAGTAAAACCATTTAAATCGATACGCATACACATAGAAATTAACGTTAATGAACTCTCATCCCTGCGATCCCCTCCGATATTATGCGGCCAGCAGGCGCTGTATGTTCTTCGGCGTATTCTCCCCATTCAAATGCTTCGTCGTGTATCGCAGGGCATTTAGAAGAGGCTCCGCCTTGATGGCCGGCTGCGCCTGCAGAAGTCGAACGCACCCCTTCACGTCCACATGGGCGCCCCGCACGAAGGCCCCCTCCGGATGCACATGGTCGTAGAGGATCACCAGGCCGACCATCACGCGCAGCACCAGCATTTTCGTGTCCTCGCGCTCGATCTGTTGCAGGAGTTTTCTGTAAGAACAGGAAATCGATTAGAAAATTGGTACCATTAAGTTTAAAGATAACGAATATAGTGAATATAATAATATAATATTATTATTAATCATTACCATATCTCGTATCTCAGATGCACTAAAAATTTATTCAATTTAACTCACGGATTTTCCAGCATCCTCAGGCACACCTTGGCCATGGTGCCCAGCGTTTCCGTCGTGTTCTGGACATCATCGGCATTATCGTTGACGAACTTTGAGGTGGCCTCGCTCAAAACTTTGAGCATGGGCGTGGCGTGGGCGTAGAACAAGGACATCCGGTTGGCCAGCTCCGTGCTGACCAGCATATTCTCCGTAGAATCCACTCGCTGCCGACTGACTATGCGTCTGTAGTAGCTAAAATCATTCTGTATGGCGGGTGTTTTCATCTGAAAATGAAATAATCAAGGCTTTATTAATTACAAGAATTATATAAACCAACTATTCTAAGATCTCTTAACGTTTTAAATTTATTTTTGGATTTTCCAGAGATTTTTGAAAACTGGTTTGGCATCAATTGTTTTCCATCAACCCAGTTTGAAACATACGTCAGAATGAGCGACAAAAACACTAAAGGATTTAAGGGCCTATTTAAAAAGATGAACAAGAGAGAAAATCACGAACGGTAAAGTTAAATTGGGTTTGTAGTTTTCTAAACAAGTTTTCGGGATGTTGATTCGCACCACTACCAGTGACTCCCAGCAGAAGAACTACGTTGTGGAGAGTTCCCAGCCGAAGCCTGAAAAGGAGAACAGTCGGGATCGCAAGGAGCGTGAAAAGGAACGCAAGAAGGAGCAGGAACTTGAACGTAAGCGGGAGCAGGAAAGGCGAAAGGAACTCGAGCGGGAAAAGCAGCTTGAAAAGCAACGTCAGCTGGAATGGAAAAAGGATCTGGAAAAGGAGCAGCAGCGCGAGAGGGAATTGGAGCGGGATCATCCAAGACAGGCGGCAGCCACGGCTGCAAAGAAACCAAACCCCGAGATCGTCAAGTTCGACGAGGAATTCGAACGTGATATTGAAACTTTGGAGCGCCAAATATGTAACTTGGATTTTCGCTCCAAGACCATGGCCACCATGTGGATAGACAAGCTGCGTCGCACACCACAGAGTGTAGCCGAAGCTAGGTCGAGGAACATCATAACATCCCACATCCTCAAGTGCTGTGGCGAAAACATATTCAAGAAGGAGCCTTTCAACCATCCCCCACCACCCGAAAACTTGGCAATTATAAGAGAGCGAATGGTGCGTACCAATTAAATTGAATGGTTCATTAAAACCTTTTCTAAAACATTGAAAGTGTAGTTTGTAGATGTAGCCTTTCGGAATTTAATTACAGAGTTTAAGTTGCTTTCAATTTAAGTTTGTATTTTCAATAGCTTATTAAAAAATATTAGTTTACATTTTCGATAATTCCAGTAATCTTAACTTTGCTTATAATTTACGGTTTAAGTAAGCATTTTCTAAATTTATTCAGTGAATTCTATAGATTGTGCCAAACATTTCAGAATGGTTTTAATTCAGATGTCAATTTAATTTTGTTTTCCAGTTCCTGACGCGGGATAGTACGTGCCATGGTATGCCTGTGGCTAAACAGAGGGAACCGAACAGCTATTTAACTCAATTGTTTAACGATTCTTACGATGGTGGTGAATTCCTAAGCCAGCTACCCGTGCCACGTGATGGTGCTTTCTTCATCCTGCACATGCGTCCAAATTTATAAAAGTGAATTGAACATGAAATACAACCCAACCAAATTCAAAATTTTAGTAACATTTTGTATCTTAAATTTTGTATGGAAAATGTTACTAAGGTAACCTTTTTAGTTTTCCTAAACAGTAAATAAAACTGGATCATAACATTTTCATAATTGTGTTTCAAAAGGGGTTTGTCTTATGTCACTCTATAAGTTTTTATGCATTAAATATAATTTTCTTCATAGCAAGTACCTTTACCAACGCGATTATGAAGCACTCAGCTTTGAAGCTATCGGCCGTTTTCAACACTCGCTCTTGTTAACCTCTAATTACGGTTGACTTGAAAATCTAATTACTAATTACCCGCTACGTGACACCGCAATTTGCCTGCTGCCCGTGCTGCCAAACGGTTTTCCACTCCGGGCCAGGCCCAAAACAACGATGCCGCACTTAAGCTGTCAGGGCTGCATCGAAAACGTGCGTGAGAACAGAAAAAATACTTTAGAGATTCGCCGCCGCGAATTTTCGAATCAGGTAAAGTTGGGTTGCTCATCCAATCACCTTGACAAAAGGCGCTGCAAACAACAAACATCATGCACTACTATACAATACTATACTATAGAGTGTCCGAGAGACTGTTGTGAAACCTCATATAAATACGTTATTAGCATAAATCGTTCTGAACAGTCAGAAATGAAGCCCCAAACAGGACGGATCGTCGTTAAGAGCAGTTCCCTGAGCTTGGTGAGTGCTTGCCTCTAGATTATTATTCGACACCTGAGATGATTAATCTATTAATGTATATTTTTAGCTATATGCATTTCTGCCCCTGATGATAGATGCAGTTTGCGGGAGAGCTCAGTATGCCTCACCTTATGGCAATGCTTATGCAATTTCCACAACCAACTACGCCCAATCGTATTCCCCACCTCCAGAAGTGCAATCGATATGGTCAGGTTCTCCAATCATAGTGAATGATAATCAGTATAGGGCCCAAGAACAGCAGCAATATCCTAAAAACAATGATTACTATGGAAGAGAACCCTATAGGCAGCAACCCTATCCAAATTGGCGAAGAGAGGAGCTACCAGTAACGCGTGCTGCCAATCATAACTACAACAATGTGCCAGGATATTTTTATTACCAACAACAGGAAACTACTCCATCCCCACTATTTCAATATAACCAACCCATTCCACCTGAACTCCAACCATATCCCCCATCCAATTCCGAATTGGATTCCAGTGATTCTCGTCGCGAGGAGGAGCAAGTGGTTCAGATAGGAGGCAGTCGGTCTCTGGCCACAAATAACTATCAAAACATTTATAATAACAATGAGAACTTCTATGAACCCGCTCAACCCTGGAGGCGTCGTGATTTTCAGGCCAAATATGCCCAACATTATGCCGAATATTTGCGTAAATATCCCAGACGCCTGCAGCCAGTATACAACACCAGCGAAGATTTCGATGAGAAGTAAAGGAATACTCTATGAATTTTAGTCAGTGCAAAAGCCAAATTGAATAAATCCCCTCAAGAGCCATTGGACTTTTGGTTGAAAGCGTGCCAAGAAAACAATTTGGTCTGTATTTTGGACAGATCCATTGCAGCTGATAAAGTTTAAAATGCAGCTGCTGAAGAGTCAGTATATAAATACAGTAAATATTGGTTTCCCGCAAAAATGGTCCAAACCCAAAATATTTCAATACAAATTGTGACTAACAACTAATATAGGATGATTAAGATATATTTTATAAAGATAAATAAGTACGTTTTTATAAAAAGAACAATATATATTGTGTATTAATTCTTATGGGGTTCCATTAAAAACTTAATGATTTCAATATTAAATAGATAATTTTTTAATTTACCACTCTTAGGATAGAAACAATTAAAGCTAGTCTTTGGTTTAGTTGATGTTTAATTTGTGTTACTTCCCCCAGATCTTATACACCGCACTGTAAGTGCCTCTCGATGTCACAAGATTTTTCGCAATAAAGTCGACATTAAAACGATGCCAGTTACAACCAAAGTCAATAAATTGTACAGCATACTTTGCGGCCCATTGGAAACAAAGCAACAAAAGCGCAGAGACAATGGTCTTTATTGAACGGAACGGAAGTGGAAGTAGCTGTTAGTTGGGAAGCACGTTTGGGCTATATATACACAACTTTTACATGGGAAAGTATCTGTGTGCGCCAGGCAGCTGACACTTTGAGCACACAATGAACGTGCAGTTTACAGCGTTTAACATCATCATCATGGGTATTATCGTCATCATCATCATTATCATCGGGAGCACAAAGTTCCAGACACTTAGACATCAGAGAGTAGAAGCCGACGATGGCGATGACTTGGCCCATCCATCCCCACCTCCCGATTGTCCTAGATCCCGAACCCAACTTCTCCACAGCTGCATACATGTATTCCGCTCCCCAATCGATTTGATGAAAGTTTCTCCAAACGGAAGCGAGCCATGGGAAATGCGCCATTCACAGGGATTTGCCATTAAACAAATCGATTCTGCTTGGCTCCGGACAATAAACCGACATATTCAACTGCCACTGAAAGTTGTGTGGCTCTAGGTAATGTTTTAACCCAGTGCGGATATACTCGTGCTTGCATATCCCAGACTTTGGTTATTGGTAAACACATGAGGTCGCAATATGGTATTCAAGTATTAATAACTTGTTTAAATAACATGGAATTCGAAAAAGGAAATTTCAATTCAAACATATTCGTATTTAAATTTTAATTTAAATATGTTTATATTTAATTTCAAATTTAAATTTGTTCATACTAAAATGGCCACTGAATATGTTCACACTTAAATTTCAATACGTTCATATTTAAATTTTAATTTACATATTTATTTTGAAATATTTTAATTGAAATTTAGATATATTAGTATTTAAATTGTAATATGTTCATAGTCAAATTTCAATTTAAACATTTTTCATATTTCAGTTCCGATTTCAATATGTTTCATTTAAAAAAAAAATAGGTAATGATATTTAAAACATCATCAAACATCGATGTTGTATCGATACATTTCGATAGTATTAGGTGATGTGAACATATTTATATTTAAATACATATGAATAAAAATATGTTCTAATGAAATATATCGATATTTTTTTGATAACTTTAGGTGATGTTTTAAATATCACTACCTATTTTTGTTTTCAAAAAAAAGTTATCATTGATAGGATTTATTTTTAAATATTCAACAATCTTATAACCACTGCTGTTAACCCACCGGAGCGACTTTTATTAATTTTACAACTTCATCCGGCCATCGGTCGTTCGTCGTGGGCCATTTGGCTTGCGTGTGCGTAAGTGCCTCGGATGCTCCACTGTGGCTCGAACGAATGCACGGATGGCCTGAAAGATTTTTCATCAATGGGCCGCAGCACGCGCTCGTCTTGGCCAGTATGTCTGTATGGCCGACTGTCTGTCAGTCAGCCAGGCAGCCAGGCGGTAAGCAAAAAAGTCAGTCAATTAAAAATGCAACCACGCGCACAATGAGTTGGCAGTGGGACTTGGTCTGGCTTCATTTGACTTGGCTTTTAGATATTGCTTTGCTTTGGCTCGGCTGTCGACAGCGCCCACATAAGGTAAACAAGCAGACAAACGGGCAGTGAAGAAGACAGAATTTAACCCACTAACAAGTCACTAAACAGACGGAGAAAAAATCAATTAAATCTTGATAAGCTGTTACCTAATTTTGTATCTCTTCAGGTTTTTGCTTAGATTTATGTGCAGTTTTACAAGATTTATTTTATTAGGTAGAAGATTTTTGATAAAATATAATCCTAACGACTTTTTATAACCAGCTTATGGAGCTTTTGATTTAATAATATATAATCCAAAGGATTAGGTTTAAAGAAAAAATGAAAGTAAACAAAAATTCTTTTAAAACCTTTAACAAACGTAATCTTTACTTTAAGCCATGCCTTTTAAATCTTATTATAATTAGCATTAGCTAAAACAGTATTGAATTGATTTTAAAATATTTATAAATATTTTCATGACTGCCCTAATAACATTATGTAAGCGATTTTATTAACCACCAGTTTCCAATAAATTTCCCCCCGTCATGCACAAACAACGTAATGCCAGTGTTTGGTTTTTCCCCCACCAACAATTAATGGGTTAACGTGGTGGGCGTTGTACCGCCAAATATGGACTAGAGCTTGTAACACCCAGCTGTCAAAGCAACTCACTCACCTTGTACTCATCGAACTTCAGCACGAACTCCAAGATCTCGGCCAGCTGCTTGACCAGCGCCTGCTGGGTCTCCAGATGCTGTGTCGGATTGAGCTTTCCGCCCACCAGCTGGCCCAGCAGCTTGGGCACAATCTTGTCCAGCTCCATGGAGTGCTCGTAGCAGCGCTTCAGCTTGTTGACCAGCGGGAGCACCGCTGCCCAGGCTTTGCTCGTCACCTCCGGCGAGGGATCGGCGATGGCTTCTCGGATTTCCTTGCCGGCACCCTGTAAAGATTCGCAGAAATAGAGGGGAAAAACCGTCAGTCAATAAGTTCGACCAGAAACTAGAGTAAATGCGAGTTTGGCATGCGAACCCGTAAACCATTTATACACTCGAGAACTAGTGAAACCAATGTAAACTTAGTAATCTAGCCCCTAAGTTTAGAACCAAAAAAAAATTCTATAAAATTCATATTATCTACATTTTGTAAAGTAGGTGTCTAGAATATTTTTTAAAATTTATTTTTATATTTTTTTTATATATTTTTTTAATATATTTTTTTATATATTTTATTTTGTTTTAATATTTTAACATTTTTCTTTACCACAGTTTTATGTTTTTGGTTCTTATTGATTGCCTAATATTTTTATATTATTATATTAACCGTTTTTTCATTACCATATCTTTTATTTCTTTAAGTGCACTTTTCCTGGGGCTTAGTTTTTTACTGGCCTCCTAAAAAAAAACGATGCCTGCTGACCACATTTCAGGCATTTGTTTTATTACAATCAGCGAACTGTGAGCCATTGTGGCCGGCCGGCTAGTTTTCATCGAGGAAAACTCTGGGTCTTTATTTCTGCGGCACATGCAACAATAACGACGTCGAAAGCCGCGTGCATTGACCGGCGCACTGATTTTTATCGATGCTTTATGATCTACAAAAATAATAAAATAAAGGAAAACACACACGGCACCGGGAAACTGGAGCTAACGAACGGTCATTGCATGATATGAAGAGTTCATTTCATACCCGTACGTACATACAATCAGCAAATGGCGTTGATTATTTCAATTGAGGTCTTTTGGCGTTTTTCAAATACATTTTAAGTGGCTAATAATATAGCAAATACTTTAAGTGCAGACGGCCATTCAGGTTAACTGTGGTCAATAGCAGTAAAATTTAAGTTGGAGATATAATATATGAACAGAAAACATTGAATGTAGCTTTAATTTTAATTTAATGCATTTGTTGCATAATTGTTTTGAACTTGCTACAGCATTAAATGCTATATTCCTAAGAAACTTATCTTTAACTTACGCAGTCTTATCTTAAAACTTACACAAACTTCATAGTGCCTTAGAGAAATTCCACTTAAAGGTCTGTTTGTTTATCAGTAGGTTCAAAAATTGTATTTCCTTTCAATGAGTGGTTTTCCAAGAATAAGAATAGCGTCAAAATTGTTTTTGGCAAAATATTCTCTACAACTTAAGCAGTTTTACAACAACAAAATATTCTCTCTACGAAACTCATATGATATCTACTGATTACTTCAAATACCCCTATTATAACATCGTGTTCCTAAACTTCGTTATGAAATCAACTCTAACAGTTATCTAACTTAATTATGGCTTTCCCATTTTCTGGTCAAACAAGGCACAACATAATTAGATAATTATATACCACCATCTGATGTTATTGCGTGTCTAACCGATTATACCATATTGGCATACATTAAATAGAATTAAATATAGCCAGCCCCGCCCCCGAATCGACCTAAAACACCGATATAGAGAACATGCGAGTTACACACAGCTCAGTGGACTGCGAAGTTCAAGCTCAGAAGTATTAGAGTGTGAGTGGATCTTTATAAAGAAGTAAACGAGTGTTATTTTTGGTTTGCACACCTCTCCGCCGTAATAAAATGGACTAGCACGTGTTGTGTGTTTATAATTAAATCGCTGCGCATATCAACAAACACTCAGACAGAAGGCAAAATGCTAAGGTACACTGAAAGGTAATATTTAAAAAAGAACTTAGGATTATCCGTTGAAAAGATAGGGTAACATAAAATCCAGAAGAGCTTGGGTGTTTTTCCTTTGTTTTGAAAAATATATTTAAATTCCTTTTTATAAAGGAGTGTTAATATTTATTCTTAAACATGTATATATATTTTAGTAGTTTCTTTTTCTATCAGTGTATTCTGTTATGAGTACTTTGGTATAATCATAATAACAAGAACGCAACTGTCTGCAGCTAGCAAGAGCAAACACTGCATCTGTGATGTTTTGGCTTTTGTTTTTCATTCTGGGGTTCTGTGTGCTGGCATTTCTTTTCACTCTACATAATTTACACCTGTCTGTAAGTCAAGATCTTATGTCCTTGGCTGCTGCACTTGAAGCATCCCAGAATGTTTAACGCGAGCAAACAAGTAAACAAAATGTGGGGGAGGTTGTGGAATAAAAATTAAGG